AAAAGCACATATGGTAAGGTACAGATTCAATAAGAAAATGACACAAAAATTTCGGACACAACAACACAATAGGCCCGTTTGGGCCGGTGGCGACACTGGCCAGCTGAGATCAACAACTTATCCTCCTCCTGAGGAAAGATCAACTGCCTATTGGCACAATCTATTAGAATGCGATTGGCAGATAATCAATCCATTCCCAAGATTATGTCAATATCCACCAAAGGTAAACAAATCAGGTTCACCTTGTACTTCTTCTCATTCATCACAACCGGGCAACCCACACACAATTCAGAAGCAATCACAGAAGCAGAAGCGGGCGTCGACACAAGCAGTCTCAACCCCAAATCACACACAGGCACACCCAACATAGCAGCACATGCATAAGATATAAAGGAATGCGTAGCACCAGAGTCAAAGAGAATCATCACATCCTTACCAGCAGCTTTGCCCTTCCCCTTCACAAGATCAGAAGAAGTCGAAGCCTCAGCACCTGTCAAGGCAAATACCCTACCAGTAGTAGTGGGTCTGTCACCCCTCTGAGTATCAGCTCTCTGTGCGCTACTCCTCTGAGTATCTGTCCTCTGCACATCACCCCTCGGAGTACTCCTCTCTGGTCTGCCTCTAGCAGGGCAGTTGGCTGACTCGTGGCCCATCTGATGACATCTGAAGCAACGGCTCTTCGTGTGCGAACAGTTCCTGACAAAGTGGGGCCCAGCACACCTGAAACATCTCAGAGTGGCACCTCCACTCTGTCTACCTCCACTAGCAGTACTGGAAGATTGCGTTAGACTGGAACTTTGTATATTTATATATTCTAGATCCTATATTTATATACTTGTTCTATCTGTCTGGTGTTTCTAGTGTATTGTGCGGTGTGTAGTGACCAGCCGGGTCGTTACACTTTAGTGGTATCAGAGCAGTTCGAGTCTAGTGGACACTCTTTGGGGGTGGTCCCTTTAGGCTTTTGCTGTGTTAGCTCTATGTTGTGCTGTCATGTTGTGATGTTTGCTGTGCTGATTGTTGTGATGATCCATTGTGTTGTTGATTATTGTTGGGTTTAGTTATTGATTGCTAAATATGTTGTTACTTTTGTAGATGATGACTAGGACCAACGAGCAGATAGCCCGTGCCATAGAGATGATGGCTATGGCTATGCAACAGCAAAATGCCTATTTTGCTAGGATGGAGGCTGAGAGAGCTGTAACTGGTGCAGCAAGACCTGCAGGGTCGCAGGAAATCTGGGATCTTGCTGAGTTCCGGAAGTGTAATCCTCCACAGTTTGCAGGAGATGCAGATCCAGAGGTAGCTGACCGCTGGATCCGTGAGCTAGAGAAGATCTTTACTGTCCTAGGATGTCCTTCAGAGAGGAGGTTAGCTTATGCTGTGTATATGCTTGTTGGGGAGGCTGAACATTGGTGGAGAGGCACCTATCAGATGCTTGCTGCCAGTGGAGCTACAGTTGACTGGGAATGCTTCAGAACAATGTTCATGGAGAAGTACTTCCCTGAGAGCGTGAGGCATGCTAAGGAGGTTGAGTTTATGAGGTTACACCAGGGAGGGATGGCAGTTTCTGAGTATGCGATGAAATTCGAGCACTTGGCTCATTTTTATTCGCACGGTATAGCTGAGGCCTGGAAATGCAGGAAGTTTGCTGATGGCTTGAGATATGAGATGAAGAGGGTTTTTAGGACCTAGAGTAGGGACCATGCAACCACCATCTAATGGGACCACGTTTTGCTCATTTGGCCTCCCTTTGTTTTTACGTTTTCTTTGCTCTCTGTTCTTGTATCTCCAGATTTACATTTTGCTTCTTCTCCATTAACGTTTTTCTTTGCTTTTACTCTTCTCTGGTTGTAGACACTGAACCCTTACATTGAAGAATACATATTATTCAGTTTCGTTTGGCTCTTCATCCTTGCATTTTCGTTTTTGTCTCTATTTTTGTTTCTATTTTAATGGAAGGCTAAAATTCCTGGGGTTGGCTCCTTGTTGTGGATTGTAATCTCTATTTGAGGTTGGGTATGTTTTGTACATCTCTGTTCTACTTGATCATTCTTCATTTAATCTCTGTATAAATGTGTTCATGCTTAATGGGCTATCTTCAATGCCACAGTTGCTTAATCTGTGGAGAGGTTAAATGTTGTATACGTTTTCTTATCTTCGCTTAGTTGGTTAACTCGGATGGAACAAGGATTAAGTGGTTGACAGAGCAATCTCATTGTGAACCAAGGATAAGAGAGTTATAATCCGAACAAGGAGTCAATCTATTTTACTTTTTGTGTTACCTTGCGTTTTAGTGTGTTTTAAGCTGAAAAATTGAACCAAACCCCGCCCCCCCCCCCCACTTCGTGTTTAAGCCTTTGACAGAGACAAATGCTCCTTGTGAGATGACCTAGGACAGCTTCCTAGTACTGCATTTAATTGTTTTATTTGACCGGATACGGCTTCGATCAAATTTGACGTCGTTGCTGGGGGGCCATCGGTTCTTGTCAAAGGTTTTGTGTTTTGTTGTGTTTTTGGCGTAGTGTTTTAGTGTATCAGCCTCAACAACACTTGGCACCCCAAGTGGCACTCGATGACATATCAAAAATGTCTCGCACAACTAAAACACATAATTTTGACTCACGTATCAATTCACCAAAACATATCACTCAATCGGTAAACATATTTTATAGCAAGTAAATTAACATCCAATATCATCTAATTCATGCATACAACTAATATCTTTCCTCAAAATCACACCAAATTCTCTTAGGATTTCTCATAGGAACCCACAGGGTCCTCAAATCATAAAATTATGATCCAAAACATAAAATGAGCCATACATTCAAACAATTCATTTCATTAATTATGAGTAAGAAGAACAGAGAGCAAAATAGAAGCATTAAGGGAAACCCCTCAGACATAGGTATACAACACACATAGGATTAGGGATCAATCCCACTACCTAACATACAAACTCATACCCAAAACAAGGTTTCTCATTCCCCCTTACCTAGATAAGCTCTAGACGATCGATGAACAACTTTAGGGTGATTTTCTTCCTACTTCCATTCTTTAAGCTCTGAAGTGTGTATGTGAAAATAGATGCATAAAAAGGATTTGATCAGAAAACTCCTCTTTTAAAAATCCTAATCTCCTTTTAACTCTCTAGTTAAATATATTGACCACGGTTATCCCGAAAATTCCTTTCATTATTTAATAAAATATTATAATATCCTTTAATGAAATATCATATATTATACTCTAAAATATATTAATTAATTAAAAAAATATTTAGTTTATTTAAATATCATATATTAAAAAAATACTTATATTATATTTTATGAAAAACAGGTGTTACACGAGTCATTAATCACGATACTTTATTTTCATTTATGATATGTCTACTTGATTACTATTTCTAATATCCTTTTAAGTTTTCATCTTGTAGTTAAAATATTTAACCATATTGTAAGCATGTTTTATTCATGCATGTAATAAACTATCGAAGTAAACACTATCAACATTTAGAATATTAGCTTTATCATGCATTGTTTCATTTGATCAACAATGTTGTTGAATAATTAGATGATTGTTGGAGGAAGTCCACATAAAGAAATATACTTTTTGAAGAGGGGAAAATGTAAAAGGAAATTTTTTTTATTAAGTCAATCAATCCATAAAACATCCTAATAGAAATCCTAAAATAAAGAATCACTAAACTCCATTAAAGAAATTGAAAATAACAAAAACAAGTATCTTAAACATACTAACCAAATCAAATAAGAAAAAACATGTGTATTTTTTTACATTATATGTAGTGATGAAACAAAAAGTAAATGTTAAAACCATCAAGCGCAAACCTATGTGTGTGATTATGTACTATATAAAGAATAAAATACATGAACAAAATGTGAACATAAGATAAACATGGAGATGAAGATGGAAATAAAATGAATAAAAAGATTGAGAATAAAGAAAATTGAGAGAATAAATAAGAAGAAAAATAAGAAAGGGAAAAAAAATGAATCTTGAAGAAGGTGGAAGAAAAAAAATGAAAATATTAGAGAACAAGCAATTTGAGAATAGTGGTGACGACTTTAAAAGAAATAAAGAGTAAAGGTTTAGATTGTGGATTTAGTTGCAAAATAAAATATTCTCTTTTTATTATAATTCCAATTAGGATGCTAAACAAAATTTATCTTTTAAATCAAAAAAAATTGTAAAACTAAAAACTAAGTATTAATAAAAAAGACTTAGTTAATCCAAATTTTTGCTTGACAAAATTTAGACAATTTTACTTCAAAATCCTTAAATAATAAAAAAAATATGAAAAAATAACTATCGCTATTCAAATAAGTTAACTACTTCAACACAAAAAAAAAAAAAAAAAAAAAAAAAAGTTAACTACTTCCAATTACTCAAATTCTTACATTATTAAAAAATTAAATTTTTTAAATAAATGATCTCACTAATTTTAATAATGGAAAAGTCGCATTTTGAGTTGCGACTTGTCTTGATTTTGTTATTTTTTTATATTATGATAATATTTGTTCAAGTATAATATATTAAAAAAATTCGTGATTTAAAAACATGACTTTAGCTTTTTAAAAAAAATAAATAATATAAAGTAAATGTCTTTCACTTTAAAAAGTTGTATTTCACAAACACGGTTATTTTATTTCAAGAAATTTATTAAAAAAAATACCATTTATTGAATTTTCGAAAATGTTATCCCAGAATGGTTTAAAAAATATAAAATAAAATAAAATAAAATAAAAAACGTTACTTTCGATCTTTGTTCGTGTTGTAACCTTAAGGCCCGTAAAGTAAGCCTAAGCCGTCACTATCATTAAGAAGATTCATGACATGTCACACATTCATACGAATTTGTGCCAAACATAGAGCAGAAAACCCAGCCAAAACTTCCCAGCTTTAGAAAATAACTTAAAATAAAGAAAAAATGATAGATACTTATTGAAAATCATTCTGAATTATTAAAATATTAATTTACATTATAAAATATTAAATTAAATAATTATTTTATAATAAATTTATTAAAAATATATTAATATTTTGATGTTTTGGAGGGTGATTCGAAGATCGTTTTCGAAGGATGTATCATTGTTAT